ACCTCAAACCCAAAACTCCAAACCCCAAAACCCTTTAATCCCCTCTCACCAGTCTGAAGCACTCCCGTCCCTCATGATTACCCCAAGCCTCCCAAACAAGGACTGCACAATGGTTTTGGGTTTATGGATTTAGGGGTTTAGGGATTTTAGGTTTAGGGATTTAGGGATTTAGGGTTTAGGATTTGCGGATTTAGGGCTTAAGGCTTAGAGTACAACTGTCCTATGTTTAGGAAAGGGCCTGATTTTTATAGTCCTTTAGCCCCTAAATATATATGCAAACCCTTAGACCTTAAACCTTAAATCCTGAACTCTAAACCCGAAACCCCAAACCCTAGACCCTAAACCCTAAAGCCCTAAAATCCTCGAAGTAAACCCTTGGTGCCTGGAAGGGCGATGCTGCGGGCGGGGCCTCGGGAAGCTTCAGCGCCTCCCAACTGTGGACTCACAGGTCTGGCAATCGCTTCAGGCTTTAGGGTTTTGGGTTGAGGGTATGGGGTATAGGGCTTAGGGTTTTTAGGGTTTCAGGTTTAGGGTTGAGGGTTAGGGTTTGGGGTTTAGGGCTTTGGGTTAAGGGCTTAGGGTTGAAGATTTCGGGTTTAGGGTTTAGAGTTTGGGGTTTGGAGTTTGGGGATCTAAGATACAGCTTGGGGTCTAAGAGTTTAAGGCAGACAGCTCAAGGTCTGTGAGTCCAAGGCAAAGTTCAAGGTCGGGGAATCTAAGGTAAATTTTAGGGTCTGGAATTTATGGTTTAGGGGTTTGGGGGTTTTAGGGGTTTTAGATGTTTAAGGACTTAGGGGGTTGGGGGTTTAGGATGTCGGGGTTTGGGGTGTTAGGGAGTTACGGCTTAGGGTGTCAGAGTGTTAGGTTGTTGAGGCTTCGGGTTCTGGGTTTAGGGTGCGTAACCATGTGTGCGTGCCAAACAGCGCCGTCTGGCTCAATGTGAATGTTCGAAGAATGCTTTAAGATTTTACGGTGGGGTGCACTAGGCATCCGCCGATCTTTGTGGGTTAAAATACAAGGTTACTTTGTAAGAACTGCCAAGGCCCCCAACCGGCCAAGTATCTGCGACAGAACCCAGACAACTGCCTTGGTGGGTTTACAGCGCAGACAGCAACGGAGCCGGGAAGTCAAGAAACCGAAGCCCTATAAATCCCAAACCCTAAAGCCTAAACCCCAAACTCTAAACCCCAAAACCCTAGCCCCTAAGCCACTAGGAATTAAGGTTTAGAGTTTAGGGTTTGGGAATCAAAGCTCGAAGACTCTGAATACCCAACTGGCGAGCCTGGAACCCAGGAGGAGGTCCTTGCCCTTTGGGCGTCTCCTCCTGTGACAGGGTGTAGGTTGCATTGGGGTAATGTTAGGGTTGTATTGGGGTAATGTTGGGGTTGTATTACGGTTGTATTGGGGTAATATTGGGGTTGTATTGGGTTTAAGGATTCGGGACTTAGGTTTTTAGAGGTTCGAGGTTTAGGGGATTTAGGCTGTAGGGTTCAAGGGTTCCGGTACCACAATGGAGAATCAAACGGGAAAGACAAATGGACAACGAACTGGAAACTATGCCTGCGCACAGGTTGCATAACATTTCAGGTGCGTAGCTTTCCCCACCCTAGGCCTTAAGCTATCTATCTATGTACCTACCAGACATACTAGCCCTTGTCCCCATATAACCCCAATATAACCCTGATATTACCCCAATGGTTACCTACCTGGTAGCGTCAGGTCAGGGGTTTAGAGTTCAGGGATAAAGGCTTTATGGTTACTTCACAGCTACATAGGTGTATTTTGGGTTTAAGGTGTACCCTCCTCTAAACATACATGGAAGCTGACCCCTTTTTCAAGGGCAGCGTTTTTGCCAGGCTTTTTTGTGATTTCCCTAAACCCTCAACCGTAAACTCTAACCCTAAAACCTGATTCGCGTCAGTTTAGGGTTAGGCTTAGGGTTCTGGAGTCATGGAGGTTTCTGGGGCTGGGGTCTAGGGTTGAGGGGCTTCTACCCCATCAGTATCAGGGAAACGTAACAGGGCTCCACGTCTCTGTAGTGCCCCTAAACCCTAAACCCTACACCCTAAACAGGGCAATTTAGAATAATCTCAATTTCCACTGTAAGGCCATGTGGGTACTATTCCCTATATGAGCCCTGGAAAAATGTGTCGTATATCCCGTAATAGGTCCCCCCAAAAACCCTATATAGTCGCCTATAGGTCCCCCCAACCTAAATTTAGTCCGTAGCTCATATAAACTACCATACCATCTAGGATGAGGTCCGGTGATGTCGCTTTAAATAGCCCAGCCTCATCCCTAGAACTTGGGTACTGCCCCCTATCAGGAAGAATTTGATAATACTTATGGTTATATATATATAGCCATTAATAGGACCCCTAATATAGACTGTTACTGGGGGGGGGCAGTACCCAACCTAGAACCTAAACATGACAGTTTGGGATGGGGCAGATCCTGACTGCAAGCTTTAACCCGCAAAGGGTTTAGGGTTTAGGGGTTTAGTGGTTTAGGGTTTAGGGTTAGACCGCGAAATGTTTAGGGTTTAGTGCATAAAATTTCTGTAGCCTGCAGGTGATAATGCCCCACTTCCATCCAGCAACACAAAGTGAATTCTGCGAAATGGGCTTGAAGAACTGGGGATTAAAGGTCCAAGGGTGCATGTAGATTGTCACACCCTAAGGGTCCAAGGACACAGATAGTACCATTCATAATATAGTATTTGGGCCCTAAAGCCCCATTATTTGGGTCCTTGGACCCTTAGGGCAACAGGGTACAGTGTTCCGCCGTACAGCCGTAAAGGGTGCCCAACTGTTATAGGGCGGCATGTCGCCGGGCCACCTATCCAGACCCCTAGGAGGATCTAAAAATTAGGGTTTAGGGTTTAGGGTTTAGGGCCCTAAACCCTATATAGACCCATTATAGACCCTATATAATCCTTATATAATTTCCCATATGGTTCTAGGGGATCTAATTTTTAGATCCTTTTGGGGGTCTGGGTAGTACTGCAACAATGACGGCACGCCACTGTTGTTGTCGATTTCCTGGCTGGGAACCTACCCACCTGAAATTGTCTTAGAGTTGTTGACCCTCGAGCTCAGACACCCTCATGTAGGAGCCTAAGCAACGGCATTTCGGGATATGGCTGGCATACTACAATATAAACATAGGCTTTATAAGCTTTAAGGTATGAGGAGGAAATTTTACAAACCTATTCAGGCTTGCACATAAGATGCCCGGCCGCCAACTATGAGCTTCGCTAAACTCTATCTACGCTCGAAACCTTAACCCTAATCCCTAAACCCTAAACCCCCCCAACCCTCATCCCTGAATCCGAAATCCCTCAACCTCAACCCCTACCTGGACCCCCAAAAGTATGTAAAATAATGGCCTTTATGGCTATTATTGGGGGTTTAGGGCTATTATTCTACATACTTCTGGGGTTTAGGTACTCCTTGGCCCCAGAAGGTCGAACGTTTAGATTTCAAGGTCTGAGGCTTGGTAGTGTGGAGTTTAGGATTTAGGTTCCCGGTTTTGGGCTTAGTTTAGGTCAATCCCCCCTATAGTAATGGCTCCTTAAAATGGACTTAATAAGGCCTTAATATATCCACAATAGTCCCTTGTGGTACCCATTACTGGGTGGGGGATTGACCCAAGGCTTAGTGCATAGGGATCTGGAGTTTGGGTTTATAGGTCTACGGTGCAGGATATCCCAAACCCACCCTAAACCCTAAAGCCTAAACCCTAGGTCCAGAGATCCCTGGATCTTGAAATCCCTAAACTCCCAGATCACAAAGCAAGGCCTCCAGCGTTAAGATATATATATATATGTATATATCCATATGTACATATATATATATATAGATATTGTGGGGTTATATAAGGATAATAGAAAATGGAAGCTATTATTTAGGGTTTAGGGGTATATGTATATATATATATATACATACAAATACATGTCTGTATATATATATATTTATACATATATGTATATATATATATATGTATGTGTGTGTGTTGGGGTTCTATAGGGAGAATGGAAAACATGGAAACTACGATTTAGGGGTTTAGGGTTTAGAGATTAGGCCAAACCGGTTGGCTCAATCTCCGTCTCTCCTCCGAGATTTCAAAGACCGCCCCTTGTTCGAAGAGGGACTTTTTCCTGTAGCTGACAAACGTTGGATGAAGTAAATCTTACACAAGTAGAGACGGTTTAGGGTTTGGGGCTTGGGCTGGAAGAGCCCTTAGGGGCATAGGGTGCTATGGATTAGGGTTTAGGATGTAGGGGTTTAGGGTTGAAGGGTTTAGGGTGGTTGGGCGGTAGGATTCCATTGTCTTCTACAGCTCTACTTCAGGTGCCCTGCACTATGACTATATACGAGGAATCCAGGACAATAACATTGGCAATTTTTACAGGCCTTTTCAGTAGTATGGATTGCTGTCTGGCCTCAAGGTTAAGGATTCTACGTTTCAGGATCGTGGTGCGTGGGACACTCTAAGCCCTAAACCCGATTTCTTTCAACATGCCGAAGGTCAGTATACTCCGGAGACTGCAAAACTTCCCTTTTCCAACACAACTTGCAGGTTCACGTACGTCTTTACAGAGGCTTATGGGACTTAGTAAGTATTGATAGTCTGAATATATACCGATTTGGGGTCTGCTTGGACGGTCAGGGAGACTCAGTGCCCCTAGAAGCCATATGACAATTGCAGCTTTTCCCATTATTAAGCTTGATGAGTCCCACTGACTTTCCGCGTACCCTAGACTCCCTACCTAAACCCCAAAAGTATGTAAAATATTTGCCCTAAACCCTACAAATGATAGCCCAAAAGGCCATTATTCTACATACTTTTGGGGTTTAGGTAGACCATAAACCCTAAAACTTCCCTATAGGGCTCTTGGACTCTTGCTCTGGGCTTTGCCCAGAGCTATAGGGATCCTTGGTTTAGGGAGCTGCTACTCCCTGAGGGTCAAGGGACTCAAATAATAGGGTTTTACGGCCAAAATACTATAATCTGAATGGTATGTGAGACCTAAAGCCTTACAATTTGGGTCCTTGGACCCTTGGGGACTTTCTTGGTACAAGATAGGACCCTAGTTTTGGAAACCCATTTGAAGATAATAAGTCGTACACACCATCCGCCCCAAGCCCCATAAAGCCGTTCCAAATCTCTAAAGCGCGTGAAGCCGATCAGTTGGGCGCCTCAACCCTAAACCCTAAAAAACCCTAAGCCTTCAACCCTAAACCCTAAACCCCAAGCCCTCAACCCTAAACCCTAGGTTGTGTGGACTCTTACTTGGACGTTTTAAGAAGGCTAATCTTGGGAATAGCTGAGGCTAGTATGCAGCCCTAGACGTGATATTGTGGTGTCATAAGTAGGGGGGCAACCAATATCCAGAAACAATCTCCCAAATACTATAATCCTAATTCTAGGGACCCCCAAGAGAGTGTTCCTAGTTTCTTGAGAAATACCCAATACACTTGCTAAGTTGCCCTGACCATCCACCTAGCAGGTCAGGGGGGATTTCCCCTAAACCCTAAACTGATGTACCTACTGCCCGGAAACCCTAAAGGGCCGACGGACATCTAGATTAGGGTTCAGGGTTTAGGGGCTAAATATTCGTGTTTACCTGGAAAGCCAGTAGCCCATAACTATAATCAGCTTTCCCCCAGATTCCTACCACATGGTGTAAACTAGCGGGACATGTTGGATAACTAGGCTTTGAGGGTAGGGTGTAGGGCTCAGGGTTAAGAGGTACCAAACCCTATAAGCCCTAAACCCCGAAACCTGAAGCCTCCATCAGCAAGTGCGTCATAGGAGAGTCCAACCTAAGGACCTATCCTAAACCCCAAACGCCCTACACCCGAAACCCTGAACCCTAAACCCTAAACGTAACAGCCAGCTGAAATGCAGAAAAGGCTCTGATCCTGGCTCTCCTTTCAGCAGCGTCGGGTGTGGGGCTTAAGGGATAAGGGTCTGAGGTTTAGAGGTTAAGGGTTTAGGGTTTAGGGTTTAGGGTTTAGGGATTTACGGTTCCAGGTTTTAGGTGTTTTGTTCTTTGTCATGATGGCTGTCGCTCATGTTACCCTTTTTTGTAGTGCTTCTACAAGTATTTATGAGACTGGTATTACTGTTTTCTTCACTCAGTAACTGGACGCCTCTCACTATTCGTATATATCATACTATTCTTACAGTGGCTTCATGCTGCACCTGCATCTCAGCAGCTACGCAGATCACAACTCCAAGCTGGAGCAAGTATTGAGCAGGGCTCCCAACACCCCAAACCCTAAACCCTGAGCCCTAAACCAAAAATCCCACGCCCAAATTGTTTGCAGCAGAGCCCTTGAGCATAAGGTTGCTGCTTATGTAGTTTGGTCCTTTAAGGGTTGTTTATGACATAACGAAGGAGGACCTCACACCCTGTAGTAGTTGTAACTAGGAATAGAATAGGGGCCAAATTCCTCATTATCCCGTATAGCCACTATTATAGGGTGGGGGGTCCACCTAAGATGTACTCCATATTATGGAGACTCCATTTAGGTCACCTAACAGCAACCCAGTCTATCGTGAGCTAGCTGCAAAGCTTAACGAATTCCTGGGCTTCAGTTGTAGGGTTTGGATTTGGGCTTGAACGGGCAGCCATCATGGGTTTAGGGCTTAAGGGTTTAGGGTTTAGGGTTTAGGGCTTAGCGTTTAGGGGTGTAGACATACTCTATTCGTCCCCATGGCTTGTCATCTTACGCCCTATTTGAGCTATAGTCTTAACTCCTAGCATCCTTTTCAGTAACTCCTATAACACTCCCCCATATAACCCCCTTTAAGGAGTTTAGACTATACCCCCTACTTGAAGTTTAGACTTCTTCTTTGGTTTTAGGAAGGCTCCGCTGATGGACGGCTGTGGCCATCAGGCCGGGTCTTGTCGCCCTGCCTACCGCCAATGTCCTCTGCAAACTCTAAACCGTAAACCCTAAACCCTGAGCCCTAAGCCCTAAACCCTAAAAACAACATGAGTACATGTTAGTATCAACCCTCACCTCGACACCCTGGGTTCAAGGTATGGTGGAATTCTTTTTGCCCTTTCTACAAAACTTCACATAATATATAGCTGGACCATAAATAGGGGTAGAGACACCAAAATACTGGGTACAAAACTAAGCACTTTGCATGGGTAGTGATTCTTCACTTTGGGTAGCCCTCTCCCATCACCCCGAAACGCTGTCAGGTCGAGGGATTATGGCTTTGGATGTCCCATGCTGCCACTTTTTCGACACCGATAGTCCACAAGAACACACAGCCTACCTGGAAGATGGCGACCGCAATCAAAAAAAACTACATCCTCAAGCCTAATGCCATAACCAAAAATAACAACCTGGACCCCAAAAGTATGTAAAATAATTGCCTTTATGGCTATTTTATGGGTCAAGGGCTATTATTTACTTATTTTTACATACCTTTGGGGCTTAGGAACCAGTTTGGAGGCCCCTATAGAAGCATGAGACCTGAACCCCTACGCTTTGCCGCCTGCCCCTTCAAACCTAGTTTCTGAGGCTACTCTCTAAGCTTAGAAGTATGGGCCCCTAATATGGGCCCTTAGGCTCTTTAGGGGGATTTGGGGCCCTTAAGGGTACATACAGGGTAGATAGTAGGTAGTAGGGGCCCATGGTTTCAATTCTAGATACTTCGGCAACCCTGCATCCGAAGCCCAAATTCCTAACAGATTCCTAACCCCCAAGGCCCACCAGTTAGGGTTTAGGGTTGCAAAGGTCACAACATGGTCAGCACCCCTGAACCCTACATAGAAAGACAGTAACGCAGAATCATCGTCTACTTTCCCGTGGTGTCCTACCCCTTTGGGTGAAAGTAGCCCAATATCTTGGATAACTAGGCTTGCCATTTAAACAGTAACTTGCACGAAGCTGAAGTGCTCCTCCTCAGCAACCTGCGCAACGGCTTCAGTTAGCTTTGGATAAGCCCTCTGGGCAATTCTGGGGCAACAGGGGTCTCTTCAAGAGGCGCTCAAGGGTAGTATAATATAGAGAGATGCAGGATGTAAGGCTTAGGATTACCAACAACTGGTGGTCCAATTAAAGGTGTCACTATCACTCTAATATCTAGCAATACATAAGGGCACGCTGATACTTGAAGAAAATAAACAGCCCTGGCTCAGGAAGTAAGAGTTAAGGGAAGGATTCGGAAGGCATTGTCATGTTGAGAGCTAATGGTTTGGGACAAACATTTTTGGCACTTCTTACATTCTGCCTCTCATGGCACCCCACAATCTCAAAAAAAAGGGGCTCCAATCTATACACCACCCCAGGGGCGATGATCCTTGTGCTAGAGCAGTCGCCAGAGAGCGAATTTAAATATCAGCGCTTCACGAACACGATCCCTGCATTTTTCTTGCCTACTACACTGTGATGAAGAAAACCTGCGAGAACGCATACACGACCCTAAAGATATTTGGGGCTTTCTGGGAGAAGGTTTGGGCTTTGGGGGCTAAGGTTTGGGATCCCATTATGAGGGTCCAAGAGCCTTAGGGTAGGCATATGCCTTGGGTGGACGGTCCACCCAGTAATAGTGACTAAGAGGGATAATAAGGATGATGATATCAGGGTCCTCTTATATTCCTTTTATACCACAGTCACAGGATGGTGGATCCTCCTAATACATGCCTTTAAACACTCTTCACAAGTTGAATAAGACCGGAGCCCTTCACAAAATCCAAGCCCTGCAAGGCGAGCTGTAGTTTATGGATTTTATGAGCATCGTTCCATACTTTTACAGAAATCATCACATTCATTCTCCTCTGCCCACAAGCCCTGCAAACCTAGATTTAACCCCTAAGAACCTGTATAAACACCATCTCCATCTGGTTCCCGAGGCGATAAAAACCTGAAATCAACGCGAAAAGACAAGTTAACCAAAAGCTCACGGGCTCAAACTACCCTCACTATACTAACCCTAAACCCTAAACCCCAAACCCTGAACCCTAAACCCTACACCATTATACAGCCCCTGAAGTGACCTTGAGTAACCCTAAATGAGGCTCTTTCGACGAATAAAAATAGGAGGCCGCTGTTGGGTTCGGGCAAAGGGTTTAGGGTGTAGAGGGGCTACGATAACAGAAAGTGGTAAGAGATGAAAGGGAATGTAGACTATAGTTATGTGCCGTTGGCTTTCTTACCAAGCTATGTTCAATGACCAGTAATAAGCACCTGCCCCTTCGTAGATCCGCAAATCGGCCCCTTCATCTTGATTTGTTTAACCCACAAAGTCGCCTACCCTCTGCACAAACAATCATGAAAGCACATGTGAGCCGTAGTCTACACTCCTAGTATCCCCCTTAAGAACCCCCATAATACTCACTTGAATATTCCCTATATAACACCCCTGTGAGGAGCTTAGACTATAGCACATATAACCCCCTCTGAAGCGGACACTTCTCTGTAGAGCCCGTCTGGGCTTTCATGTTAGTTTGGGGAGTGTATATCACAGACGTAAGGCAGGGGCCACTGTAATTCAAACATTGAGAGTGTACTAAACTAAGCTATGTAAGAAGAATGAGGGCAAGACATGGGTAATCATTTACAGTAGGATGTTAGCTTAAGGTCCCCCCCCAATTGCAAGAGACATATACACTCAGCAAGACTCCTAAGGAACCTTACATGCACTCACCGAAAACCATGATGATAACAAAAACCGCAACCTTTGAACCCCGCGAACACTTGTAGCCTTGAACCCATCAACCCTTGAACCCACAAACCCTCAAACCCCTATACCCTAAGCCACTCACGCTCAAAAAACCTTGAACCCTAAACCCGAAGCCCTCAAACCCACCCTTAAACTCCTGAACCCGTAAACCCCTAAGAGCCAAAACTTCCAAACCCTTAAACTCCTAGACCCGCAAACTCCTGAACCCTCTAACTCCAAGCCTTAAACCCCTACGCACCCGAACCCTAAACCCTTAAAACCCCAAACCCTTACACCCCTAAACTCTTAAACCCGGAATCC